CACCAGATGAAACAGCTGTGAAGAAGCTCTGTAAGAATGGTATGGCACAGGTCCACCTCCCTGATCAGACTGGATGGAAAGAAGGCCTATGTGCAGCTGACTTTGACTAGGATGCCTTGAGTATTGGCAATAAAATTGGGATTATCTAAACAGTCCAGCTGGCTAATTCTAAATACATATATTTTTTCACCATTTCACTGTATCACTGTCCTGTTGTTCATCGATTTGCTCGAGCGGGCCCAGTAACGTCTCCATTGGAGACTTTGTTGTTACTGTGTTTGGCATATCGAATACATCACGGGTAGTTTGCCAGGCTCTGCCGTGGGGGCGAGATACTCTCGGTAGCTTGCCGGGCTCTCCGAGAGGGGCGGAGGAATCAAACTCGGGTCGGCCATGTTGGCTGCGTGCAAGGCAAATGCCCTACCGCTGTGCTATCGCTCTAGCCCTTTCACCATTTTAAAAAAAAAAAAAAGATCTGTATTACACCCCAGTCACCACAAAGATCAGCTTTCTGAACAACTGTTCTTAGGTACATGTGACTACAGTTGCTGCCCAACATAGTTGGACTTTGACTGTGTATCAGCTGCCAGATTCTAACAACGATTTACCCTGGACAACTAGACTTCCATGCTCCAATAGCTACAGTACACATGCAACAGCAAACCACATAGGAGTGTTCCACGTGCTCTACTGGAGAGAAACGGCCAGTACAGCGAGCACAGAGAAATTCTTCGTCCCTGAACCTCTTTCTGAGAGGAAGGCAATGGAGGTTTAAATGCCCTATGAAGCACGGTCTCTTTCACTCAATCTTCCCAACTCAGGGAAACACTAGCAACAGCACATGGAATGACCCCCCCCCCCCCCGCCCCAGCCCAGTGTCATGCCTCAACAGGCCCCTGTTTGATGATGAAGTGGAAGTGGAATGAACAACTAATGGAATGAACAACTAAACCCCTGCCACCTGATGGGAAGTGCTGGGAAGACACGCACACACATACACACACACCAGGAAATTCAAACACCACTCAGGGCAAAAGTTACCTGTATCACTCAGACAAGGAATTGGAAGACACGCTGAAATCACGTGTGCCCTATTCACTCCTGGAGCTGCAGTGTCCAGGGTCGAAGCAGAGTGTCACATTGCCCTTCCTCAAGATGACGAAGCACTTCCCATATCACACAAGACACACTTTACACCCAGTGATAAAGATAAAAGTGCAGAGTTCTAAGCTCAAAACCAGTAAAATCCTGACCAGTCCTACACCTGGGCTCCCTACGCAAGCGTTCTTGCTCCTGGTTTCTCCTGTACCCATGTCTGAAGACTCACTCCAACTTGATGCAGGCATGAGAAACATCTGGGAGAGCTCCTGTTCTTTCACAGACACACATCCCCACCCCACCAAACCTGGAAGCCTTGGGCAGCCCAACCATCTCCCTTCAGTCCTTGAATTCTTACACTTGACTGTCTCAGGGAGTCCTTGCACTCAGAACTGAGTCATTCCCAGAGGGCAGAAACCCTTTTCAGTCACCCCCGGCGGGTCAGAGGGATGGCCCCAGCTCCAGTTCAATCACAAACCTGTCCTTTGGTGCCCTGAGGAGCTCCCAGAGTGCTGGGGCCAGGCTTGTCTCTCTGCTCCCCGTAAGCAGGTCCTCACTACATTCCTCTCCATGTGTTGTCAACTCCTTTTCACAAAACTAGAAATCAAGGACTGCTAAGTACTGAAATGGGGCAGGCACAAAGCAAACCTACACTCAAGAAACAAGAGCTGGGGTAACTTTTTTTTCCTGAAACTGGTGGACCCTCTTACAGTGATTTTTCTGACTGCTCAGTGTCATAGCCAGTCTTGCTTGAAATGGTAATACCTGAGCTCAGGGTTGTTAATAATCTCACTGCTATGTCTTCTGTTGTATTCCCAGGGCCTGGCAATTGAACTTGGTAAATACTCAGTGAGTAGTTGTTAAATGCTAATAAGTGACTGAAGTGCATGATGGACTTAGAATTTTTTTTAGGAAAAAAAAAGAATTTTTAAATGTCTCATTTAAGTATAAATGCTACCCTGTTATAAATATTTTTTTCTTTTATAAATTCAAACTCTACACTGTCTGATATATCACTTAAGAACTTATTTGAAAGTCTGGAGTGATAGTACATCTGGCCCAGGTTTGATCCCTGGCATCCCATATGGTTCCTTGAGCACCGCCAGTAATAATTCCTAAGTGCAGAGCCAGGAGTAAGCCCTAAGCATCAATGAGAAAGAAGAAAAAAAATGCTTATTAGAAGAGTAAATTCCTATCTCAGTACCACTGAATGGAATCTGGATTTTTTTTTTGTGGGGGGGGCATACCAACAGTGGTCAAGGCTTATTGCTGACTCTGCTCTCAGGGGTCACTTCTGGCAGGGTTTTGGGAAACATATGGGGTGCCAAGGATCAAATCCAGGTCAGCTGAGTACAAGGCAAATGCCTTACTCATTGTATTGTCTCCATCCCTCAAACCCATTTTTTAATGTGTTGTTACAATGATCATCTCCACTTACATTCTTTTTAGTTACTAAGGTGTAATTCTTCAGGTTTTATAATCAGCCTCGAACTCGAGTCGGCCATGAGGGCCTTTACCTTACCTTTACCTATAATCAGCCTACGAAAATGGTGCAGATATATCCTGGACACAAAATTCAATTAGTTTCTGATACTATAACAGTAGAGAAATACATTTTAAACCTTTCTACCCTTTACTTGGGGAAATTAGTTGAGAAATATCAGTCTTGCTAGGAATTTAAGATTACGAAGAAAAATGTACTCCTTAACACTTTTATGAACTTCACTAAAATACTGTTGACTCATTTATACCTGAATTTCTTTTATAATAGGAACTGATTTTAAAAGATTTTGTTTCAGCCAGAGACATATAGAGCAGGTAAAACACTTGCCTTACACATGTGTAACCCAGGTTCGATCCCCGAACCTCATATGATCTTCCCAGCCCCACCATCCTGAGCACAGAGGCAGAAGTAAACCCTGAGCATTGTTGAATGTGGTCCCCAAACAACAAAAATAAATAAAAAGTGACGTTTTGGTTTTTTTCTTTAAAATATAAGTGACTGGGGCAGGAGTGATAGTACAATAGGTAAGATGCTTCCCTTGCATGCAGCTGACCCAGGTTTGGTTCCAGGCAACAAATATGCTCCCCTGAGCCCCTCCAGGAGTGATCCCTGAGCAGAGTTAGGAATAAACCCTGAGCACTGCTGGGTGTGGTCACAAAAAAAAAATTAGTAACAGTAGTGATTACAAAATGGCCTCAAAATATTCTTGAATGTTTGTCAGGGCACAGGCCCAGACATGCCCTGGTGAGCCACCCAGTCATATGCCTGGTTCCTCTCCCCATAACTTTCAGCAGGTCTGTGACCTGCCTTAAGCCAACACTCCTTTGATGGCCCCCTTTATCTCAAACCCCCTTGAAGTCACAGGTGTCTCCTGTAGCTCTCAAGAGGCTGCCCTGTGGTGAGAGGGAACCATGGGGCTAAGGGATAGACACCGAGCCCCCAACACAGCCAGACACTGCAACCTCTGAGCCAGCAGCCCAAATGGAGCTCCGAGCTCCAGACAGGACTTCAGCCCACACACCTGGGACAGTGGCCCTGTGGCACCAAACAGGCCCAGGGACACTGAGCCCAAGTCCCCACACTTAAAAATGGAAAAAAAGTATCACATTAATAATTACATTTAGGGTCACCTGTTACTCGGCAGTAGAACACTTCAGCATCAGCAGACACTGATTGCTTGGACTGATGCTAAGTCTTAGAATTCTACTGTCTCATACCTCCAATATAGAAATACGTCATCAAACTTCAACAGTCCTCACCTCACTGCAGCCATTCACATTTCAGTGGCATTCGGGAGAAGGAGGGGTTATTTTTCAATGTTCTGCCCTCGCCTTGAAACTCCCTGAAACTACCTGAGCTGCAGTTCCTACCCCTTAAATGTAAATCCCGCAGGCAGAACCCCAATAGAGAGGTAGCTGCTATTTCTGTATGCCAACAGTGGGAGAAAAAAAGCTGTAAAGGGTGCAGAGACTACCTCTAATTTCCAGCTAGAGCGAAGTTCATTACAAAATGGATATGAACAGGCTCTTTGTTTTCCTTTATTTTCACTGTTTGAAGGTGGGGGGAGGGCACATACTCAGCTGTGCTCAGGGGCTACTACTGGCTCTGTGCTCAAGAGTCACTCCTGTTAGTACCTTGGTTCAGCCCACGGAGTGTCTCTCTGGCCCAGAATATAGTTTTCTCTTAGTTTCTCTACCAGTCTTCCCCAAACTCATAGAGCAGTAGTAATACGAGCAATACTGTGGCAGGTGGATAAGGTGAAACGCCAGTGCTCTATTTCACTTGGGGAAAAGGGAAGCATACGTATACACATTTCATCAATGAAAGCAATGTGCATGAGGTAGACATCGGTGATAAGCAGGAAACCTGGTACAGAGGAAACAATGGGCCTGTCACCAACAGGTCAGTATCAGTGGTGACCACCCAGCTTTACCAGATTCACCCAAGATGTCCTTCCTGACCCCTGATCCTCGCCCAAGTACTTTCTGCTCATTTCTTTGCTTTCCTGTGAATGTCAAACCCAGGAAGGAGTAGGCGACCTGGTGGGTAGACGCTTCTCTGGACTGAGAAGTGCTGGCTTCACTGTGGTCAAAGCAGCAGTCTGGCCCAGTGAGTGCAGAGTGGGCTCACTAAGGAAAAAGTGCAGAACCAGATGTTTTCTGAGGCTCAGCCCCAGACCCTGTGACCAGGGAGGGCACAGGCCCTTGATGACCCCCCCCCCCATCAGAAGTGAACTTCTCCACAAACTGCAGAACACAACTAAAAAAAAATCAGTATATAAAAACAGCAAAGTGTCAATAAGAGCAGAAATTTTTCATAAATACTGCACATTTCACAAGTTGACCCCAAAAAATACCATATGTGGGAAAAGGTCAATTGAATTTTGTCACAATGATAAAATATCTTTAATTCTTAAACATATTCTGACCTCAGAAATTTTGAAAACATCAAAAAGGTACATACCAAGATCAATTAAAGCAGTAATAAAATGTTCTTCAGATAATTGTTCAAACAAAGTATTAACATAAGTCTCTGAAAATGCTACCATGATTGTAATACATTCTTCAAGTCATCAATTTTCTTTCACATTCCATTTGAATATAGCACCTAGAGTGATTTCTAATAGACAACTTGTTTTCTCTTGCTTTTGTTTTTAGGCTATATCTGGCAGTGCTCAGGGATCACTCTTGACAGGGCTTAGGAGACTGTGTGTGGTGCTGAAAATCGAAACCAGGTCAGTCGTGCATGAGGCAAAAGCCCTACTTGCTATACTCTCTCTCCAGTCCCTAAGCCTTTTTGAATATCTTCCTGCTTTCATTGGTAAACTCACATATATCAGGAAAATGAATTTTTTTTAAAGAAACCCCCAATAGTTTAGGGGCCTGAGTGCAGAGTCAGAAGGCTAGAGACTAATTATCGTGGCTTGAAAACACACCTTTAGGGAGGGCCTTATTCTATATACTCCTCATAGAATCAAAAGAAAATCTTTAGCATTCTTTGTTCAATGCTACTGCTACTGATTTGATAATTTAAAAAAAAAACTCTTCCTGAAAGGTGTCTTTCAGGAAGTGAATTCTTGATGACTTCCCATAATACTGATGATGAAAACTTTATGGCTTGATTCAAATACTAAATGACATCATCCAATCATACCTAACCTCAAATATAAATGCCTTCTTAAATGTCCTGAGAGTCATGAATCTAAAATATTTCCTACTCAGACACCATAGTAGGAGAACCTTAGGTACTTGGTGGACATCTTTAAATACACGGAGTATCCTAAAACTTTTTACTCTTGCTATATTCTGACCTAGAAATTTAGATCACAGTACCGTGCTGAAATTAAGCACTCTGTTTTGGCTTCTTTGGAACTGCTGATTTCCAAGAAGTCAGTAAATGGGCTGCAGAGATGGCTCAACAGGCTTAAGACCATGGCTTACAGCAGAGACCATGGGTATCAAGCCACGACATATGGTCCTCTGAGCCTGAGCCGAGCCAGGTGTAGGCCCTGGGCTCCCTGAGCACTTTTTAGAAGGCCCCCCAAAACTCAAAGAAGATTAAATAATTCATCTTCTCTAAGTAGAAGTCCCTTCTGTCCTGGTTTCAAGTGGTGCTGCCCGCATTAACTAGAGGGGCAGACCACAACACCACAGCATCTAAGTGGTGTTGCTTGAACGTGTCAGCTGCCAGTGCCATCAGGATCTCCTAGATGTGTCTATGACAGAACTCATCATTGCATCGCTCATTTCAACCACTTCAAAATCCATTTCGTTCCACTTCTCTGCATCATCTTCTTCATTCGCATCCTCATAGTCATTCAGCCCAGAGCTAGACAACAAAGCTTTCTGGTCCTCACTCTTCCTGCGTTCTTTTCGCTCACGATCAAGAGGTGAGGTGGCTAATTTGTACATCACTGGGAATAAAACTGCAGTGGCTACTGCTGCCCCCAGAGAGGTATATAAGACCACAGGTAAGTCTGGGTATTCTCCTTGAAGGATTCCAATGACTGCAGGAATAGCCATTTCGCCCAGGGCAGCACCAACTACAAAAAATGCTGCAGATTTCCCATGGATCGTTGTGTACTGCTCTATCCAAGAAACGCCGCTGGGAAATGTGGTTGCCATCGAGGCCCCATACACTGACGTGGCTACCCAGAGACAAGTCCGGTTCTTGTTGAATAGCACCAACAATATAGAGGAAATCAGATTGCCAATATTGCTCAACACAATCATGGTTCCAGGCTGCAAACAAGTAGAGAAAAAGATGGCCAGACCTCTGAAGGCTGCAAAGGTGCCCCAGAAGATGGAGTTCAGCCCAGCAGCTTCGCTTTCTGTCATGCCAGCATGGGTGGTGGCAAAGGAGAAAACATAAGAACCATATGTGACCTCGGCTCCAACATAAAAAAAGAAAAAAATGAACAGGAGACAAAGAAGAGCCACGTGATACTTAGCTCTTCGAGATTTCTGGGCAGACACTTTAGCTTTTTCCTGCTTTGAGCTTTTCTTAAAAAACAAGGCAAAAAAAAAGAGAGAAGTTACAAAAATGTAAGTACCAATAATAGCGTAGGTCCACAATAAATTCAGATCATCAGGCACTCCCAGCAGAGCGCCTGAATCAGCTCCAGAGGACTGGATGAGGACAGAATGGTTCAAGTCGGCTTCCGTGTGGTTTTCGGCAGACACCGTTGCGCCGACTGCCAACTTGGCCAGCAATGGAGCCACAAAGGCGCCAAAGGCAAAACTGAAGTGTAAGGCCTGCATGTGTGGGGCTCCTTTATCCCCCCACAGAGCCAGGATCAGGACGTTCCCACCTGCCAATGAAAGAGGGCAAAGAACCTTTTAATTATAGTGATGTGATTAAGAGACTATGTCATAGAGAACATAAGTTCATTTCTATTCGTTTCTATCACTAAGAAGAATCCACAGAAGACTGTAATATACTCAGCTAACAAACATTGGTAAGAAATGCAGTGAATTCTAGAACTGGTGATGACAAAGTATTGACTTACTTAACATTAAAAAATATACAACTATATCAGAAAGACATAATCTGTCATTACAGAGTGTTAAAACAACCAATGATTTCTTAACTTGCAATGGGTAACCCTTTGGGAAAAATACCCAAGGATAGGGGTGGAGAGCAGTACAGCAGGTAGGTATGCAGCCAACCAGGGTTTGAACCTCAGCACTCCCTATGGTCCCCTGAGTCATGCCAGGAGGATCCCTGAGTGCAGAGCCAGGAGTAAGCCCTGAGCACCATTGGGTGTGGCCCCAAATACAAAATAAGAAAAAATAGTAATCAAGCATATAACAGAAACAAAACAACTTTTCAGGAATTTGAAAACTAGGATTCTGCTGTGCCCTATAGAAACAAGGACATCTTCTAACATCTGTACTTATACTATCTATAAACCTACAAGAGGTGGAGTAACTATGTGTATCCAAATTTAAAACTTTAATAAATTGTATCTCTATTAACTAAATTTTAATTTAAAAAAAAACCTATATACAAAAGGAATGATGAAACCATCATTTCTTTTTCTTTATAAACATATCTGTAAATAAACATGCAATTCTAGTACCAGGAAGTCTGCTCCATGGCTTGGAAGCCAGCAGCACATGCTTGGGGAAAAGGCAGCTCAGATAGAGAGGGGAACACTAAGTAAAGGATGTTTGGAGGATTCACTCGGGATATGAGATACGTGCTGAAAGTAGACTATAGACTGAACACAATGGTCACTCAATACCTCTATTGCAAAACACAACACCCTAAAGAAGAGAGAGCAAAAGGGAATGCCCTGCCATAGAGGCGGGGCGGGGGGGGGGGGGGGGAGGGATGGGGGAGGCATGGGAGGGCTACAGGAATCATTGGTTGTGGAGAATGGGAACTGGTGGAGGGATGGGTACTCTATCATTGTAAAACTGAAACCCAAGCACAAAAGTTTGTAAGTCTACAACTTACAAACTTACAAAGTACCTCACGGTGTTTCACTAATTTAAAAAAAAAAACATGCAATTCTATTTGTAATTTCATAACCAAAAATGTATGGCAAAGGAAAAGTACTTTCTGACTTAGAAATAATAGTACATCAGGAAGGAAGGGGAGAAGGCAGTTAAGAAGTGAATAAATATCTATATGAGAGGGTAGGTTTAAAATTAAGGGCTGGAATGCCAGGTACAGCAGGTCGCAGTTCGGACATTTACTATAAATGCAGCTGACCTGGGTTCGAGTTCTGGCATCCCATATGGTCCCCTGAGTCCCTCCAGGGGTAATTCCTGAGTGCAGAGCCAGGAGTAACTCCTGGGCACTGATGAGTGTGGTCTCCAAACCAAAATAAATCGATTGATCAACCCAGACACAAAGAGGGTATGTCCTAGACAGATACAAGGAAGGCAGTAACTTTTCAAATACGCAGCACAGGTTTCTCTTAGTTCAAAATCCAGGGTACATCTGGGAATTTTAATTGGATGCCTCCTTCTATGCTTCTCAGCTGACAGGGTTCCTAACATGGCTCACCTCTTTATCACATCAGTTCTCCCAAGCACAGTGATTCTAGTTTTCTCCCCAAATAAAAGGCCGTTCAGCTACATGTAAATTCCCAAAGAGGGCCCAGCCTTGTTTGGACTCTATAAATCAACTATCTCCACATAACAAACACTTTTAAATTCACCCCATGTTTGGTTGCATAAAAACTGGCACTCTACTTGTTGCAAATAATAGTGGCAGAAGGTGACCTCATCAACCCCGCAGGTCAGTGTCATTTTAGAGGACACGGAAGGGGACAGTTTATCACCTGGCCTTGTCATCCAGCAGAAAGTCCCTGCTCATGCTGAGGGCTCACTAACCTGTATCCAGAATACCAGTTGAAAAACCAAATACGGACATCATAATGATCAGCAAGACTGCAGTCTTACAAAATGGGACAAGAAAAAGACCAGCGGTGGTAGCCAACATTGAGACCCCTGAGAAGAAAGAAAATGGTTAGCTGTACAGAATAATATCCATGCAGAGAGCCATGGATCAAGTCAACAACATAAAATCTCCCCAAATGCAAGAGATCAAAATAAAATTGAATAACATGGAATACACAAGCTTGTTTATTAGGCATTTCTGTGAAAAACTTTTAAAAACTGTATGAACTATAAAATACAAATTATTTTAATAGGAATACAATTCTATCACTGCTAATCAAAATGCAATCCTATAAGCAAAGGCTTATAGCCAAATAGCACAAAATTATTTATTTTGAATGTCTCATATTTAAGAAGCTAAAAAGGCATTTTAGAAACAAAAACAAAAAGAAAAAACACAAAAATAAAATGTAACAATGGTGTAATTTTTAATTGAAATCTACTGCAAAAACTGGTTTGGGATAAGGAGGAAAATGTAGGAAATGTATTATCTCATCTACTTTGGGAGAGGAAGTAGTTTTTAAAATTTCTTTATTAATACTGTTATTCTTGTTTCCAAAGCAATTTTATCACAGTCATCCATATTTTCTCTAAATATGTCAACTTTTTCAAAATGTCTTAAGAGAATTCTTCGCTGTGAATTTGAAGGAATGAGCAGAGAGTACGAGTCATCACCAGGATAGCAGGGAGAAAACTCTCTCACCTACACCATCACTTCAACCACCATCCCTCCCTGCTTCATTCTCAGCCAGCGCCTAACCTAGACAAGTGGAAGGCATCCATGCGGGTCCATTGTGGCCCCTGGAAATCAGCCCTAAGTCCTGACAAGCCGAGCATCTCAGCAACAGAACATGATCCAGCATACAGCGATAGTCAGAAAGACTAAGCATCTCTAACCCACTGTGGGGTCAATCAAAATGCCCAAGGTGTCCAGGTCCAGAGTCCCTGTTCCCTGCCAAGCTGAGGCAGGTATTAGGGCAGCCTGACTTCCAACGAGGACACCTAAACCAGGCTGGAACACTTCCTCTACAGGGACACACGGACAATAAACCAGCAAGCTGGCATGCTTCCTCCATAGAACAGGAATAAAGCAGCTCAAGTTGGTGTTTACTCACCCAAAAGCAGAAAGTGATTCATAGTGTCAAAAAGAACTCCTCCGACCACAGAGCCACTCAAATATCCAGAGGCCCGGCCCACAAAAATCAGAGAAAGACTGCTGATGTTGCGGTTCACGTTTTTTGCCAGATCTTGAAACGTGGGCCCCAGTATAGCGACACTCATTCCCTAAAAAGCAAAACAATAATTGTTATACAATAGAAACATATTTATATCCATGGTTTAGTTTATTTTTTATTATAAAGTGTGGGGCTGAGGACGTGGCTCATCAATAAAGTGGTTGAGGCTCACATAGGAGCACTATGTCTCATCCCCAACAGGACAGCTGCCCCCCAAAAAAAAGTGGAGAGAGAATTTCAATTGATTGTAGAAACTTGGAGTACCCCTGCAGTATTTGTTTATGGTAACAGCAGCACTATTGCAGTGATGTACACCTATTTTTGCCTATTTTTTTCTTTTATTCTTCTTTGTGGTCCCCACCTGGCAGTACTCAAGCCTTACTCCTGACAGTGCTCAGAGGAACCATATGGGATGCTGGGGACTGAAACTAGCTCTGCCATGTACAAGGCAAACACCCTACTGCTGTACTATCACTCCAGCCCTAATGCTCATCTTTTTTTTTTAAAATAGGGGTTTCAAGGGAGGGTGGGTAGGCTGGCACCACTCAGGCCATACCTCTTAATGCTCTAGCCAACAGTGCCCTGGGATGCCAGGGACACTTACCAGGACATGGGAAGCCCCAGGACTACACAGGGCAGTGCTGTGGTGGGGAGGTGTTCATGTGGTACTATAAATGAATAACAGGCTTGAGATGTGCTGCAAAGATAGTACAGTGGATGTGCTTGCCCTACACACTGGCTGACCTGGGTTCAATACCTAGAACCCCAGATGGTCCCCCCCAAGCACCACCAATAGTGAGTCCCTGAGCACAGAGTTGGTAGTAAACCCTAAACACAGTCCGGTGTGGCCACTGAAAACTTCCTCTCCCGCCCCAAAAAAAATCAGGGCATTGCTTCACACCTTTGTGCCCTCCTGCCCAGGCACTAGACTTCTGCTTAGTATGTCAAATCTCACTGCTCCCTTTTTTTTTTTTTTTTTCACAACCCTCAAATTAAAATATTCCAGGCAAGAGAGAAAACTCATTCACCTTCAGGAAACCCGAGTTAGCCCCTGAGTACTAAGGATGTGGCAAAAAAAAAAAAAAGAAGCTAAATATTCATTAGGTAAAGGTAAAGGCCCTCCCGTTGATCATCGATTTGCTCGAGCGGGCCCAGTAACGTCTCCATTGGAGACTTTGTTGTTACTGTGTTTGGCATATCGAATACTCTCGGTAGCTTGCCGGGCTCTCCGAGAGGGGCGGAGGAATCGAACTCGGGTCGGCCATGTTGGCCGCTTGTAAGGCGAACGCCCTAGCACAGCGGGTAGGGCGTTCGCCTTACAAGCGGCCAACATGGCCGACCCGAGTTCGATTCCTCCGCCCCTCTCGGAGAGCCCCGCAAGCTACCGAGAGTATCTCGCCCGCAGGGCAGAGCCTGGCAAGCTCCCTGTGACGTATTCGATATGCCAGACACAGTAACAACAAAGTCTCTAATGGAGACGTTACTGGGCCCGCTCGAGCAAATATTCATTTTTCACTTTTTCTGCAATTCTATTCTCTTCTGAGCAATCCTATAAAACTGTTAATAGTAAGGTGTATCATTATAAGAACGCTCAGCTGTTATAAGAATGCTCAGCTGTTACAAATTTTAATTATGAAATCATCAAAGTATTCCCCCTTTTTGACACTATTGAAACAGCAGTATTTCTCAAGGCATATGTGTTCTTCCTTTGAATTACACACATATATACACATGAAAGTAAAATTTGTAAGGTTTCTAAATCTACTTATGTCTTTAACTAAAATCCCAACTATCAGGAATATGCTGTAAGGCTTTCGCAGAAAATAAAACACACACACATATACATATATGTATATACGCACACACATATACAATGACTTAATAAAATTTTACTCAAAGACAATCTAGTGTAAGTTGGAATTAAGGACAATAGACAGCTTACAGAAGATTTCTGATACACTGAAAAATGTGCATCTAATCTATCTACTTTCAAGAACACATTGCCATCACGCTCAGCTCTGAACGCTGGAGTGTGCCAGCTCCCAAGTCTTAATGGTGTAGGACTAAGGTGGTGGGGCAGAGGGGGAAGGCTGAACCCCAGCCTCTGACCAAACTAGTTCTAGGAAGAACTTAGAACTGGATCTGTCACAAGTGAGAGTTCACCAAGCTCCCGCAATAATTTTTTTTGCTCTTTATCTGCCCCCACCCACACCAGGGGGGCACATTTCCGGTTGTACTAAGCAGGGCTGATGGTGATTCAGAGAAATACGCTAAGTAACAAGAGTTAAAAGATGCTAAGTAAGACTTTCCTGCTGGGATTCAAAACACCCACCCACACATGTGCAGACCTGACAAGCCAGGAGGGAAGAGGATTCCAAAGAAAGGCGAAGGGTAGGCCAGCCAAAAGGTTGGGCACAATGCATCTGTAGCCTTGTGGAGGGCTCAAAGAGCTACACTTAATGATCTGAAGCGGACACTGGGGTCTGGGCAGAGTAAGACGCATTACTTCTGTCTCTATCACTCTGCCCAACGGGATCCAGAAAAGACACTTTCCATCGCTAGGTATATTTCCCTATCAGAAAAAAAATAACGGGTTGGCTAAATTTGCGGAGCAAGGGGGAAGCCTCGAAAAGCTGTTTTGTATAAAGTTACCCACATACTCACATGTCGATCAACAACTGCATTTGAGTTGTTGATCCCTATAACGTAGCTCAACGCACACTCCAAATTATTGTAAATCCACGCCAGGATATTCGATATTCGCACAGGACGGGAATGACATTTCTTAGCGCCATCCCCGTCCTCAAGTGACTCCCTCAAATGTTTGTAAACCAGGGGAGGCGCTGTGGGAGAAGGAGAGCAATTGCCGCTCTGAAGCTGGGCAACCCTCCTGCATCTGCACCTGCACCTGCATCTGCATCTCCATCTCCCCGCGCTCCCACCCACCCACCCACCCAACACACACCCCCCTACGGAAAACGGCAAGTTTGCTGGAGTTAGGAAACATATTTGTTAAACTTGCTCTTCAGGATCAGATTCGTGCCCACTTGCTGGCGGGGGACACCTTAGGAATTGCGAGCAAGATGACGACACGCTTGCAAACGGTGGCGGCGAGATTCGATCTGCAAAGCGTCCTCGGGCTCGGGAAGCGAGAGAGGTTCAGCCCTCGGCTCTCACCAGCCCCAGGAAGGCGGCGCACAGGACCACCGTGACGAACCAGCGCAGCCAGCCCCCGCTCGGCTCGCTGCGCCGGGAAGCCTCCACCACCGCCGGCTCCAGCTCCAGCTCCGCGGGGCCCGGGCCGTGCAGGAGCCGCTGCTCGGCAGCCGGGGCCTCGCCCCCACTGGCTTCCAGTTCCATCTCCAGCTTGGCGGCTTGGGAGACGCGTGAGCAGCGGCCGCCGCTTCTCTCCGCGGAGTTTTGAGCGCCCGGGCATCCAGACCCGGCCCCGCCCCTCCGGGTCCGGCTGTCCCCACCCCCCTGTCCCGGGTCCCGACCGCCGAGCAGAGGCACTTCGGGGCTGCCACGCCGGGGCGCGACAGACTGGGCGCTCGCCCTCGCGGCACGCACTGCGCCTGCGCAAGCGGGGAGCGGAAGTGTGGCCTCCAGCCACCCACGGCCCAGCTTCACACCGGAAGTGGATGGCGAGGCCTTGACTAGAGGACACCCGCTTTCGCGCGACGGCACCTTTCGCAGAAGATACCGGCGGGCTCGGTGCCCCATGGCGGAGCAGACTGAAGCTGCAGCCTGGGCTACGAGGATCTGGAAGGAAGGGCAGGGCAATTTGCTCAGTGCGCACCCATTTTCCTTGTAAGGAGGCCCAGGTTTGGCACCCAGCACCCCAGTGAGCTAGCATCCCGGCATCACGATGGGAGTAGCCCCTGAGCATAGGAAGGGTGTGGGCTACCAAGCAACAACAGTCACAACGAATCAAACGATAGATCACTACCAAACTATTAGGAAAAGTACAGGTCTAAGTACTACTCGGTTTGGGCGCCAAAGAGAGATGACAGTGGGTAATCCGCTTGCCTTGCATCGAGGCTGACCAATCCCTGGCAGCACATCCAATCCCTGGCAGTTCCTAACATCCCTAACCCCGCCAGGGATGAGGCAGAGCCATGAGTAAGCCCCAAGCACCGCCTTGCGTGGCCCAAAAGAATAAAAGAGAAAATGTCTCTGGGTATTCCCTTTGCTATCTTGAGCTAAGTTCCTTTCGCTTCTATTTATGTTGTTTTTTTAAAATCATGAATGGGTGACGAATCTCTCAAAAAGCTTTCTTTACAACATATAATTTTTAATCTTTCCTTTAATTGATTCATTGATATAGTGAACCAACCTGGAGTTCTTGGAATGAATCCCACATGATTATGGTATATGATCCTTTTCTTTAGGATCCTTTTGATGTATTTTTGTTGTCTTGTGTTTCCGAGTGGGGTTCAGCCACATCCAGCAGTGCTCAGGCTTACTCTTGGTTCTATGCTGAGGGATTACTTATGGCAGCATTCAGGGGACCACACACAGTATTTGGGGATTAAGCTTCGGGCCAGCTATTTGCAACGCAAGTGCTCTAATCCCTGTACTCTGCAACATCCCCCTTTTGATGTATTTTGAATTTGTTTTGCTAAGGTTTTTGTTGAGGATCTTTGTGTCTATGTTCATCAGAAATACTGGTCTTTAATTTTCATTTTTGTAACATCTTTGTCTTCTATTAGGATAATATTGGTTTCCTAGAAACTGTTCTGAGGATTTCTGTTTTTTCATTTTTCTGGAACAGCTTGAGGAGTAGTATGGCTGCCTAGTTTTCTTTGAGGGTTTGGTAAGTGAAACCATCTGGGCCTGGGGTTTTCTTTTCATAGAGATTTTTATTTACTGCCTCGACTTACTCATGATTGGCCTCCAGGTTTTACTCTTCCTTCTAATTCAAGGCTTAGCCCATTGTATAATTCTAAAAATTCATCTATTTCTTTTAGGTTCTCTACCTGATCTGCTCTACTATCTCTCTGACCCAAAAATCCAGGTTTAACCCTTAGCACCACATGGTAAAGAGCTCTGGTAGCCAGGAGTAACCCTTGAATATCATGGGTGTGACCTAATAACTATAAATTAATTAATATTGAAGATCTTGAAATTGTTGAACATCAGAAATCCATCTCTCCTACATCAAATATGGACTTAGGGGTTGAAGAGATAGTACAACTGGTAAGGTGCCTGCTTGCATGTGGCCCGTCCAGGTTTGATCCCTGGTACCACATATTGCCCCCTAAGTGCCATCAGGAGTGATCAACTCCTGAACTCTGCCATCGGTGCCTCCCCCTGCCCCTCAAAAAAAAATGGATATAAATGCAAGTACAAAACTTGACATAGTAATTAAAAGTCTCTCAAGATCAAAAGCTTTAGTAGATGGCTTCAACAATGAATTCTACTAAACTTTCAAGGGAGAACTTTAATCTTCACTCTCTCCAAACTCTTCCCATAATTCAAAAGGGAGGAAATGCTCCCAAACATATTCTACAAAACCAGTGTCACTCTTAATCCCCAATCCAGAAATCTTTGAACACAGCACCCAGAAAGGAAAAACTAGAAACTGATATTTCCAGTGAAGTCAGGATAAAAACTCCTCAACAGAGTCTTGGCAGACTGCATTCAGCACCATACTGTTAGGGAGGTAGCTGGTTAATGTTAGGGATGAGGACCTAAGAGTGTGAGATGATACCGTGAAAAGCAAAGCAGGGCAACAGATGTCTCAAGTGTTTAAAACAAATGTTAGGCAAAGCAACACCAAGGCCAGATTTCCAAGAGAACAGAATCCCACACTGTTTCATGTTCCTCTGCAAGAATTTGCCCTTTATTACAACACAGAGAAGCAAAGGCAAGACAGCTGTGAGTGACAGCCGAGCAAACTCTAGCTTATTACACAAGCATTATGGTACCATAATATACCAGAAACTGCACACAGATCAAAATCAGGCCTCCTGATGCCATAACAGTTTTATAGTTACTCCACCAAAAATTGTTAAAACTAATAAATTCTAATAATTCTGTAAAATCACAGGATTTAGAAACAATTTTGTTTTGTATACTAATGGCAAAGTATCAGAAGGAGAAATTAAGAAACAATTTATTTACAGTTATATAAAAAATAATGAAATTAATACACAAAATGAGAATTTGATCAAAGAAATTTGAAAAGTCACTAGTGGAAACATATTGCATACTTTAGTAGTGATTAGAAGAACAAAATATCCATATACCTCAAAGCATTCTAAAGATTTATCACGATCTCTATAAAAATTTCTGTGGCATTTTTTTACAGAAATAACAAGCAATTCTATAATTTGTATGGAACTTCAAAAGATCCTAAATGGAGGAGAAGCAATAGTAAAGCAATTAGGGCATCTGCCTTGCACGTGGCCAATCCCTGACATCCCATATGGTCCCCTCAGAATTCCCAAGAGTGATTCCTGAATGCATAGTCAGGAGTAACCCATGAGCACCAGTGGGTATGGTCCCCAAACAAACACACAAACAAAAGTAAAGGTCCTAAATGGCCATTACACTCTTCAGAAAAAAACAAACAAACAAAAAAACTAGAAAAAGCTTCCTAGTGTTTTCCTGTTGGGACCATGTTTCCAGGCCCAGGAGATTCCTGAAACTGTCAATGGTACTAGACCATCAACCTACCATGTTATATATTCTACATATATAGTATGGCAATAATTCATAAATTAGCACAGTAAAAGGTTAATAATAGCTAATAAACTAGAGCTATAAATATATTTATAACAAGTTATCAAAGTGAGTATATATCTCTTTATTGTACCTGAATAGCTTCATTATATGACTTATTGCAGGTAAGTGAAGCCACAGAAAGCAAAACTACAGATAAGCAATCATTACTGTATACTACAAACTTGTAGTAATCAAAACAGCAAGAAAATAAAATAGATTAATGTAATTTAAAAGAAAACCCAGAAAGTAATCCTTGCACTCAGGTCAATTAATTTACAACAAAGGATCAAGATGCACAAGAAAATATAGACTTTTCAATAAGTGTTTGGTAAGTCTGCCAAATGCAAAAGGATGACCATAGACTACTAACTTATACCAGACATAAAAACAAACTCAAAATGGCTTAAAAGTCTTGAATGTAAATTTTGAAACCACAAACCTTCTAAAAGAAAACACAGGGGGTAACTGCTTAGACATGAATCCAGGCAATGACTTTTCGGATTTGACATCCAAAGCAAAGGCAACAAAAGCAAAAACAAGTAAGTAGGACTATATCAAACTTAAAAGCCTTCCATGTAGTAAAGTAAATTACCAACAAAATGAAAAGGCAACCAACAGAATGGGAGAGTACTCTGCATATCATATATCATTATCATACCCCAAATCAAACAACTCATAAAATTCCATAGGGAAAAACAGAAACCCCACTAAATTCCAGGCAGAGGATTTTTCGCAAAGAAGTCATAAAGACAGTTAAAAAGATGATCACCAGGGAAATGCAATGAAAAAAAAAGACAGTGAGGGGCTAGAGAGAGAGTGCAGTAGGCAGGGCACTTTCCTTGCATAAGGCCAACCAAGGCTCAATCCCTAGCATCCCATATGGGCCCCAAAGCACACCAGGAATAATTCCTAAGTGCAGAGCCAGGAATAACCCCTGACCACAACTAGATGTGGCCTAAAAACCAAAAAAAAAAAAAAATTAAATTAAAAAAGACAAAAATCATGCAATATGCTAAAATGTGGGTGGCTTTGGAGAGTATCATACTGAGTGAAGGACAAGAGGAGAGGGACAGATACAGAATAATCTTATATCAGGGATATAAAGAGACATAGCAAGGGAACTAAAAATGCTCAGAGCAACAGAACATGAGAACAGGTCTACAGAACTAAGCTTGGGAGGGGAGGGTATACTGAGGAGGGGGTACTGGCACAATGGTGGGGGAGGAAAAGGGCACTCGGTGGATTGTTGCATGCATGTAATCCTACCAATAACAGTATGTATATCACAATGCTTAAAAACTAACAACATACAGAACAGAAGATTACATTCTCTACACACATAAAAGCAATGGTTCTCAGATTTGTCTATGTATCACAACCATAGTAATTTTTAAGAAAAATCACCAAGATTTGGGCTGGAGAGATAGTATTGGGGTTAAGGCACTCAGCTTGCCGTGGTCAGCCCCAGTTCAACCCCTGGCCAGGAGTGACCTCAGCACAGCTAGATATGGCCCAGACACCTAAAAAATTTTTTTAAAAAATGGACACCAACTTCATGTTCTACTTCAGACCAATTAAGTTTTCACTTAAGTGAAATGCTGGGCTTCAGGACTTCTTCA